TCAACGCGTTTCGGGCAGTTGGCCCTCCAGCGTGGTGCAAACTGTACTTCTACGACCAAAATTTGGTCCCAGAGGCTTCCTAAGATAATAAAACTCATGTGAGTGCTCACGAAATGCCAATTTTGTTTTTATTATATTACACTAGCCGAATGACCCGGTCAACGCCCGGGTTTTACCCGATTGAATGCTTTTATTCAAATACTATTCCTTACAATTATAAATTGGCGCCGTGGATGTCATTCTTGTGAAACGTCCCGCTCCAAACTTTGTGTCTGAGAAGCGATATTTTTATAAAGAGATGATCTGGCTTTGTGTCTTATGCTCGAATGAATGTTTTTCTGTTAGAATTTTGTTCCTGCATACTAAAAAAGAACTGGCTTCACCCGTGGTCTCTGCTTTTTGGAATTTTTCCGGATATAATTTTGTATCTGATAATCAAATATGATACAGCAATATCGTCATCATCATTTTCTGACTAAAAATATATAGTTTTAATGATTGATTTATATATTTTTTAAATAGCCTATCGTCTTTCCCGTATATTTTACCTATGTATGGAAATTTTGGTTTGAATTAGTGAACTACTGCGAATTTGTATACCGGACATACAAACAAACATACAAACATTCATTTATATATATACTAGCGGACGTACCCGGCTTCACCCGGGTTTTACCCGAGTAAAGGTTTGTCTAACGAACATTTGTTAAAACAATTCTCTATAAACTTATAAAAAAAATAATAGATATATTTTGATAATTTGGAACTCGTAAATTTGAATCTCTCGATAAAGTGAACATTTTTTCCCGGTCCCTGTGTGCCGTGTCATCCTGAATTTTGTCTTACCTAATTTTCTACATTACAAAATCATCGTTTTATCTAATGAACATTTTTCCCGGTCCCTTGAAAAATACTCGATAAGTTGAATAAAATCAATATTAATTGGTTCCCTCGGTAATTGGAAGTTAAAGAAATAATATCTTCGCCTTGAATTGTAGCATTATTCTTGTCTCAAATAAATTGCCGTGTCATCCTGAGATAATCTTACTTTTGATAAATAATCTTTAAGATAATAACTTAGTGATAATAAAACTTATAGATAAAAAAAACTTGTTATCATCGTCGCAAATGGTGGCGCTGCTTGCGAGTTAAATCTACAAATCTGCAAATAACTCTAAGGATATTCAAGATATCAAGAAATTATTTTTCAAAAACCTTCCCGGGGATATACCTAATAATACCCCAAATTTTCACGGCGATTGGATGTATGGTTTTTGAATCTATAGAGTACACACAGACAGACATTCAATTTTATATATATAGAGATTATATAATCTAAAATGCAAATATTTTATTTTTAAAAAACATAGATTTTATTTTCATTTATTGACTATTCTACATTTTTTACTGTAGATTTAGAACATACCACTTTGAATATTGTTTTGAATATGTATTTTTTAATTCACGAATATAGGGGATTCATTTTATAAATTCTATATTACTGTGAAAAATATTTAATGTGTAATTCTTTTCAGGTAATTGAAAATAGAAACTACTTGATAAGTAAATAACTGGTTTTCCTTTTTCACGACTGCACCTCCAATTCTTATCATTCCAACATCAAAACATCATAATTATAATCATAATCATGTATATTATAATCTATATAATTCAAAATATTATGATTATTTTATATATAGTAATTAAATAAGAGAACGAATATAATAATTATAGCATTTTAAGAGTGAATTCGCCGCTTTTAAAAATGAAATTGTCACTTTTTAAAATAAGGTATAATGTACTAGCGCCTTGTGATAAAAGTTACTATTTACGGGTTAACACAAAAAGTTGCAAATTACTAGGGCCTAGAGTAATAGTAAATAAACGCACAAAAGCGTACACTCAAGAGTACAACACAAAAAAAAGTTAATAATAACTCACAATTTGTTAAATAAAATAAAATAAAAACAGTACTTATCTTTATTAAATTAAATTTTATTGCCATCTATCGATAAAATTTTACACAAATAAATTTACTGGCAATGCGTTTCTTTTAAATATCATCAAATATTATCTCTACAGACCTTACTGCAATGATATGAGTTATTGAATGAGAGGGCTTGGCTCATCAGTAGTGAACCCTCTCAGCGGTTTCGCCAAATTAATCTCTAGACCGCTCTACTATTGTATTGGATTGGTTTTGTTATATACCCTGCATTTTCTATGGAAGGCAGCTTAGGGGTGTTTAGTGAACTATGGACATAAGCTTATAGGTCTGTAGAGGTACATACATATAATTTCAAGGTATTGCATCGAGCAAAGCTCTTCCGCTCTTCATTCAATAACTCATATCATTGAAGTAAGGTCTGTAGAGATAATATTTGATGATATTTAAAAGAAACGCATTGCCAGTAAATTTATTTGTGTAAAATTTTAACGATAGATGGCAATAAAATTTAATTTACTAATATATATTGGTTATGAAAACATATTTTGCGGAAGAGCTTTGCTCGATGCAATACCTTGAAATTATATGTATGTACCTCTACAGACTTATAAGCTTATGTCCATAGTTCACTAAACACCCCTAAGATGCCTTCCATAGAAAATGCAGGGTATATAACAAAACCAATCCAATACAATAATAGAGCGGTCTAGAGATTAATTTGGCGAAACCGCTGAGAGGGTTCACTACTGATAAGCCAAGCCCTCTCATTCAATAACTCATATCATTGCAGTAAGGTCTGTAGAGATAATATTTGATGATATTTAAAAGAAGCGCATTGCCAGTAAATTTATTTGTGTAAAATTTTATCTTTATTTTTGTGTTAGTAGGGATCGGACCGGGGTTACACAGGTATGCGAGGAGATCACCAGACAGGGATAAAGCACGCAGAGAACACTTTAAGCGTCTCCACACGATAATCCACCACACTCCTCTCAACTCCCCTCGCAATCCCATAGCCCCCTTATATATACAAACATGGCCACATTCGTCCAATGAGAAGGCGGGAGAGATTGGTTCACCATCAAACGATAACAAAATCCTTCCCACTAAAATCTGAGATAAAATTTTTTAAATGTAAATATTTGTCAATATAATTTGACACATGTACTGGCAGACATTACACGTGTACATCCTGAAACAGACCCTACCTGTATCCACTGTTCAGAAGAGCCACAGATGGTTGATCATCTTCTCTTCAGCTGTCCAGCATTTCTAAGACATAGGATGCAAACAGCTGAGGAAACTAACATTAAGTGTTTGTTACCTTAATTTTGACTACTAGTGTATATAGAGCCAAACTAAAAAGAAATCAAATAATGCAAAATAGAAACCATGTCTTTAAGTAAACCTCTAATAAGAGACCACTTTCAGGAAAGACCAGAAATATCTATGTTTATCACATGACGGTACCTATACTAAAATAGGAAATATTGTCTGACCTTAAGGAAGGTGTTCTAATATACTGTGATAAAAACGTAAGCATTACTTTGTTATTTCCATTGCTTGTAGATTTGAATAAGTATTGAAGTAACATAGTGTTGCATCAAGTTGCGATCCGGCGGATTTCTTCAGCTTTGATTTTCTCTTTTGACATCTCCAGTATCTTTCCAGAGCGTGTTTCAACCATTCTACAAAGTTAGATACGTGAATAATTATACAAACTATATTTTAGGTAGCCTCCAGAATCATCATTTTTATTTATCACATAATTCTTTAAAGAGGTAAGTATTCATAATGTGTGTGTTTAAAAAAGAGGAAAGAAGGAAATCGCACTTCAAACTGATGTAACAATATTTATCCTGCCCAGAAGTCATCCTCTACGTGGCGGGCGGGAGAAACAGCACAAGTAAGGGACTGTCCTGTAGGATGAAGTACGGTGTCGTGAGCCGTTACTGTAACCGTGAACAGGGAACTCTGAAATGTGGCTGACTAACGGGACAATTGCCAACAAGAACTAAGAGAGGGTCTGAAATATTACAAATTACAGTAGAATCTCCATGATAGGACACTCCCGCTAGAGGACACCTCTCTACAAAGGAGAGTTTTCATTTGCAAAATTACCATTTTTACTACTAAGTAACTCTCCAGTAAGAAGACACCTCTCTCTAAAGGACACTTAGGCTCTGAAATTAGGTGTTGTCCTTTACAAGGAGGTTCTACTGTACAACATGCCATAGAAAAAAAATATTTTTCCTACTAATGAACTAAAAAGCCTTATAATTCTCAATAAAGTCCTGTTTTTGAGGACTATAGAATCAACAATAGTAAAAGATACAAGTATTTTCATTTCCAGCAAAGAAACATATATTAAATTTAATACCTTTTGCATATATAATAATATCTACCCATGATAATACTCTAGTTCCCCAGCAAGCCCACTTCTCTCCCCCTTGACACATTGTAAATAACATTGCTGTAACTATTGTATATACCCTCTTCTAATTGGAGAAGTTGTATAAGACCAGAGGGTCATAACAGGGACTTTTGTTGTTGTTATTCTTGTATGCACCCTACATTTCTGTGCTTGGAGAATCTGTTGTATATATATTAATTAATTGTTACCACAGCGTGTGTGTAAGTTCACAGGTAAATAGGCGCTAACCGAAACAGAAAAAAGTTCCTTTGTTCAATATTAATTTCTCTTTTATATTTTGTTCTCTCTCTTGTAAATCAATAAATTATAATGTTTGATTAATAATTATTGGAATCAGTTTCATTAATAATTCTAAGCAAAGTCAACAGAATCCGTATAAGACTTTTTTTTTTTTGCTTATCCCTTGTACACGTGGTACAGGCCATGATAATCATGGTGGGTAGTTAGCGACTGCTTTTACTGTAAGCGCACCACATGTCTACACATGTGAAAGCAGTTCGACTTTGCACTTACAAATGTGCCAGAGCCCCGTTTGGTTACTTGCACTCGCTGGTGGGGTTGGACTTTTGCAAGAATCGGGGGGCCATTGGAGCATTTTTTTTTTTAATAAGAAAAAAGTGTCCAATGCGGGGATCGAACCCGGGTCGTAGTGGTCGTAAACCAAACGGTTTAACCAGCCTTCCACCGACTATAAGACTAAATTGTCTTAATAAAACTTTTTGTTGTTGTTGCATATATATTTTGAATTATATCGCGCAAATATTGTTGCAGTGAAGAGAGAGAGTATTGAGTAAAATTAATCATTCCTTCAAGGAAAAGTATCTTTTCAAAACATCTCTATTCTCTAGCTTTCTGACACGGACGTCCTTCTACAGGAGAAAACTTGGAAAATATCTTTTAAGAAACTGGTAATTTATATTATTCTTATTGTACATATTACAAGACACTTCTTTATTTTGTACACAGTTATTTTCTCGTCTTTTTCTCTCTCTTTCCCATTGTTAACATCATATGACTATCTATTCACGACCTAAAATTATTGTATATACAGTCTACTCTGGTTATAACGCCACCCTCGCCTTACGCCGCTTTTTCGTTTTGTCCCAATCGACATCAATGTATTTTTCTCGATACAACGCCACCCTCGCCTTACGCCGCTTTTTCGTTTTGTCCCAATCGACATCAATGTATTTTTCTCGATACAACGCCACCCTCGCCTTACACCGCTTTTTCGTTTTGTCCCAATCGACATCAATGTATTTTTCTCGATACAACGCCACCCTCGCCTTACGCCGCTTTTTCGTTTTGTCCCAATCGACATCAATGTATTTTTCTCGATACAACGCCACCCTCGCCTTACGCCGCTTTTTCGTTTTGTCCCAATCGACATCAATGTATTTTTCTCGATACAACGCCACCCTCGCCTTACGCCGCTTTTTCGTTTTGTCCCAATCGACATCAATGTATTTTTCTCGATACAACGCCACCCTCGCCTTACACCGCTTTTTTGCAAAATCCGGATGGTGGCGTTATAACGAGAGTAGACTGTATATATATATTAGGATATCAAATGTATAAAATTATCTCTTTGAGAAATTAAAAACTCTCCGGTAAGAGGACACCTCTCTCTCTAAAGGACACTTGGATCTGCAATTAGGTGTTTTTCTTTACAGGGGGGTTCTACTTTATATGCAAATTATGAATCCCTCTTCTGTCTACACATATTATAAAATATCTTAATATTTTTTTTTATAATCATAACATATTATTGTCAGGATTTCAAATATATGAAATTATATTTTAGAGAAATATGTAAATAAAGATCTAATCAGTGTGGAAGTATAAGGAAAGGGAAGTTGGCTTGTCAGATTACACCTCTAGTCAACCACATGTCCTGTTTTCTATAAATAGACATTTCGGGAAACAGGGATTCACAACCATCCCGTTGTTCCCTCTGTGGACGCTAGTTTAGCCTACAGAGAATAGTTCAAAGGTTTTGATAGTTAGGGACAGTTATTTCTGAAAAAATAGACACTTTGGCCAGTTAGAGTTTTTTATTTTTCTCAACGTTTCGACAAAAATATTCTGTCTTCGTTAGGAGAAATAAATTTTAACGCCATGCCAAATGATTTATTTTTATTTATTTCTCCTGACGAAGACAGAAGATTTTTGTCGAAACGTTGAGAAAAAAAAAACTCAAACTGGCCGAAGTGTATATTTTTTCACAGAAATATAAATGCCGGCCAGGCAACCTCTATTTTCAAGATAGTTATTTCTAAGGTCGTCTCCACGCCAGTTGCTCCCAGGGTGGTCCTCGGATCTTCTCTTTCCTCTCCGATCTACTCTTCACAGGTTTATGCTACTGGACCCTGCCTCCTATGTGCGTCCTTATCACTTGTTACAATCCACAACTGCCTAGCAAATCACCACATTTGTATAGTAACATATAGTCAATATTATAAAAAGAAAAATAAAATCACCAAGGATAAATATCTTATATTTAATGTTTATGCTTCAAGCTTTCGTGTATTAACAACCCTTCTACAGGAACTAATGAATGAATTTAGATGGATCAACTGGTAATAAACATACATATATAATATTTACATACCTGTTTTCAATATATGTATGTATATAACCAGTAGATCCATCTAGAGTCATTTATTAGATCTTATTCCTGTAGAAGGGTCGTTAATACCCGAAAGCTTGAAACGTAAACATTAAATATAAGATACTCATCTTTGGTGATTTTATTTTATTTTTCTATTAATTGTCGATGGATTTTAAATCAATATATAGTCAATATTCCCTAGAGAGAGATTGTTATTTATCATAATTATAATAAGTGTAAATTCCCAAATGTTTTTAAACTTCAAAATTTGTGGCGATCATGTAATTTTACATAAGACAATAAAGTTTTAAAGAGAATCAGTTAGAGATCCAGGCAAGGCCTAGGTAAAAATTGTCGAGATTACAACAGAAAAATGGGATTTTTTTAACATTATCAGGTAGACCCTTTCCGGGGATCTTCCACAAGTCATTAGTGAGTTTTACGACCAGCCGCTGGATGACCGACATCTCAGATAAGACCTACCTGAACCTTGCCATTGTCGCGTCGCTGGCCTCTCTTAGGTGCTATCCAACTTTCCTCGTCATTTGTGTATTAACCCAGACTCCTGAAACCACGAGGCCCATGACTGCTGTTACTGTGGTACGACATATATATATTCCAAGTACACATTACAGTTTACAAAGGTTATTAGTGTGAGTGCCCTACATATTTACACATGTAGAAAGCATTATTCATATATAAAATCACTGATGATATCCACAAGATTTTTCTAATTGCAATAATTAAAACAGATGAGATATATTCTAAATTTAAACATCTTCTGTAGATTTAGCAACCCACTGAAGACGCTGAGAACTATTTCAGAAAAGAAAAATATAGCAATAGAACTCTATAATTTCTACAGATCAATTGTAAATAGATTCATACACAAATGAGGTAGTGAGGAAAGTTTTAGAACAGATGTGTAAATAAATCCCTTTTCAAACAAAG